TCATTGTAAATATTTTTCTTGTTTTCATTAGAGATATCCTGTAATCTCGTTCCCGTTTTTTTTTCATGTATTGTAAAGTTGTGTGAATTTTTCAATAAATTCTTTTGTCAAAACCACTTGCAATCTGATTCATAGCTGAGCGCCTTGCCGCCGGTCACAGTAATGATGGTGATGATCATGATTATGATAACGATGACTATGATGATGATGGCTACGATGATGCTGATGCTGATGTTGTTGCATGTTTATGATGATGGTGATGGCRATGATGACTAATGATGATGGTGATGATGACGATGGTATTGATATATATGGTGATGAAAACGTTGTTAAGTGTTGATTATAATGATGATGGTGGTGGTAGTGGTGGTACTGATGACAATGATGCTGATGCTGAAGATACATATACATGTAATGACAGTTCTCACTTATCCCCCTAGTACTGCTCTTACATGTTAGAGAAAAATGTTTAGGGAATTTTCCTTGACTGTATGTACTAATATGTTGTGAAAGCTCTCTGAAAAAGTCAGTCTTGAAGCACATGAAGCTTGACCAGTGCTGGAAGGTGATAGAATATCAGTATCAGCACAATAATATGAGCACAAGAAATGCTGCTGCAACATGCTGGGGGTAAGGATTATCCGCCTGGATTATCATAATTGAATATTAAATTAAAGAAAACCTCAAATTTTATAAATACCCTGAAACAACCTCTGGGCTGATCTACGCCAAAGTATGACTAACTCACAGATTGAACCCTAAAACAACCTCTGGGCTGATCTACGTCAAGGCATGGCCAACTCGTGTCTTGCTAAAGGTCTCTATTAACCCTGGATCTACAGATGTACCCCTATAATAAAAATGATGATCATGATGATGCCCTTTACCCTTCACACTGATAAAACATTAAAGCATATAATGCAGTTTACTGCAATAACTTAATCTTTCTAATTTGTTTGTATTTTTCAGCGAGGAAGGAGTGGAGGTTGTCCTAAAAATGTTGAGTCTCTTATGTAGCCTAAAAGACGCAGTACCAGAGATTAAACAGGGATTACCAGCAGCCCTTCAAGACCAGCGTCTCATACCCCTACTGGCCCATGGTTTGAGTAGCTCTACCAGGAGTAACGTACAGAAAGCACTGAAGATACTTAGTGATGCTGCTGCTTTAACTGACTTCCAAATGATATGGTTAGCATTACAATTGTACTTATGGTCAGGGTTTGAATCATTGAGGGTCAGATGTAACAAATCTTTTGTTCAAGTTGACCAACATGGCGGCTATGATATCACATGCACAAGGACAAAAGACATGGTCGCCATTTTGGTTGACATAACAAAAGAAACCAAGACCATATCTTTTGTTCAAGTCAACCAACATGGCGGCTATGATATCACATGCACAAGGACAAAAGACATGGCCGCCATGTTGGTTGACATAACAAAAGAAACCATGACCATATCCTTTGTTCAAGTCAACCAACATGGTGGCTATGACATCACATGCACAAGGACAAAAGACATGGTCGCCATGTTGGTTGACACAACAAAAGAAACCAAGACCATATCTTTTGTTGAAGTCAACCAACATGGCGGCTATGACGTCACATGCACAAGGACAAAAGACATGGCCTCCATGTTGGTTGACATAACAAAAGAAACCAAGACCAAATCTTTTGTTCAAGTCATCCAACATGGCAGCTATGACGTCACATGCACAAGGACAAAAGACATGGTTGCCATTTTGGTTGACATAACAAAAGAAACCAAAACCATATCCTTTGTTCAAGTCAACCAACATGGCGGCTATGACGTCACATGCACAAGGACAAAAGACATGGCCGCCATGTTGGTTGACATAACAAAAGAGACCAAGACCAAAGTTTCTTAACATGATGGTTATGAGATCTTGTATACAACTTAAGAAATTGTTGCTCATTTTTCCTCCTGACCAAAGGCTTGGAGAGGTAATGGCGTCCAATAATTCAGCTCGTAAAGATGAACTATCATCACTGAGAAAACCAGCAGAAAATGGCTTCAGTCCCCCGTCGTCACCATCACGCAGCTCAACCAATCATATCCAGATAACTGGAAATGGTCTGCGAGGGCCTGTTGCTATGGATACTAGTAGCAAGAAGAGTCTTGTCATGTCGAACAGAACTAATATCAATGAAGCTAATATTGAGTCACTGATTGAAAGAATGAAATCTGGTTTAGAGGTGAGTAAAACATTGGTGGTTTTATTGTTTGTTGCCTCGTTTACTGTCTGCCTGTCTGGTTTTATACCTGTATCTGTCCAGTTGTCTCTCTGTTGTATTGTCTGCCTTGCCTTTGTTTGTATCTGTCCAGCTATCTGTTTTCTTACTTGGCTGTCTGTCTTGCCTGGTTGCCTTACCTCCATGTCTTCATGGCTTGCTTATCTGTGTCTGCACAGTGGACTATTTGTTATCTTACTGATACTGTAGTTGTGTTTGTCTTTTGTCTTGCTGTTTGTGCATTTTTCTGTCTGTGTTTTTCTGTCTAGTTTTCTGCCTGTCAATCTGATCATTCTGTTATATGTATGCAGATCAAAGATCCCAAAGCTTCTGAAATCATGGATATCTATGAAGCAAAGTTAGCTGCACTTCTGGTGAGTCTATTGTAAATACTTTTTAAAATAAGACTATAGTTGCAGTGTCATAGTAAATAATGTCTAACTTGCTTGTTTTTCAGACAAAAGAAAGTCACCTTCAAGATCTATTAGAGGCCAAAGCTCTTGCAGTTGATCAAGCAGATCGTTTGATCTCCCAATATCGCTGCCGTAGGGCACAGTCTGAAGCAGAGGTATGCATCATGTTGGATGGTTGCAATAATATGATCATAGTGATGATGATGATGACTGTTGGTGATGATGATGGTGGTGATAATGATGACGATATGATGATGGTGGTGGTTGGGATAGTGATGTTGATGATGATGATATGATTATGATGGTGTTGGGGAAAGTGATGATGATGAGGATGATGATGACTGTTGGTGATGATGATGATGGTGATGGCTGATGGTGATTAGTACAATGGTAGTGATGATGATGATGATGATGGTGGTGATGATGATAGTAATCCTTGAACTTTTATCTGAGTTTTTCTGTCTTAACTTAGTGTACCAAACTAAGGCAGATTCTGCAAGATGCAGAAAAGAAAAACGAAAAGCAAACAGAGCAGGTAAATGTTTTCTTTAATTTTGCTTTGGGTATACTGTACACTGAATCAATATTATGTTGACCAATTTAAATAACTATTGTTCTGCACTGACTAGCCTTATACATGTGAAAACACTTTTATGTTTCCATGTGAACATGAGGCTAGGCCCTTGAAGAAAAGCTTGATCACGACAAAACAAATATTTTCACCTCTAACTCTTATTATCTCTAACAACCCTCATCTATACATCCTACACTGAATTCACATTTTTCTCTTTTGTTTTCTACAGATAAATATGATGCTCGAAGCACAGAAAATGGCATCTAAAGAGGTACACAGTTTAAAATCATTAAACATTGCTTGTTAATAAAGAATAGTATCAAGAGAGCATAAGTAAGATAGGGAAACTTCTTAATAACGCTCACCCCATGTAAATTCCTTGTTGGGCTATTTTTGGTAACTGGATGCAGACATTTAAATTTTGCCTTATCTTACTCCAGTGTGTCATCAACTTGCGTGCCCGCGCTCTTTCTGTTTCATTTTTGGTGATCAAAACAATAAACGGAAAGATTGTGAGAAGAAAGAAAGAGTGCAAAGAAAGAGTAAGAGGAAAGAGTGTAAGAAGTTTCCCTCTCATATTTATGCTCTCTAGATAGTATGTAATATATGTACTTTTAGTCCAGAGCTGGTCGCATTTTTATTAATGTGTGCACAGCGACAAACTGAGTAGCAGGAAGAATAGGTAGCAGGGATAGTCTGCGCTGCTTAGGTGTCTTTATCTCACCAATTCATGACCCTGATACAAGGGGATGGTGGTTTGAAACCGTGCGTGAGAAGCCTAGCATATGTGTTGAGTTTGTTCTCTCCTATGCTAGGAGGGTTTTTTGTGGTTAAAACATATTTACCTCCATTTTGAAAAAGATGATGGCTATATTTGTTATTGTGCTGCTTTCCTTTTATCTCCAAGGCATAATTAGTTAGTGAGAAAAGTGGTCCCAGTTCTGGACTACAGTAACTTGTGTGTACTACTTTATAACTGACTATCCAATGGGTGAATTATTATTTCAGATGGAAACGTTGATGAGATACAATGAAAACTTAAAAATTATTGAAGAAGAACATGAGCATCTGAAGGTTGCCTTTGCTGAGCAGTCACAAAGGTAAGTGACCTCTAAAGTACAGTGACATGCATGGAATGCATGTGGTGCGTGGGACTGTGGGTCTCATGGGAATGGGGAGTGGCATTGTTTAGGGACAGGGCAGGGTGACGGAGCAAGTGAATAAACGAGATTGGAGCTCAGAGTTGTACGGTGGTTGAAAAACTTGTTGCATAGGGAAAAGAGTCCATACAATCAAGCTGTGAAGCTGAAGCTGGTAATGACTGATTAATATTTGGAGAGATAAAGAACATTTGGTTATAGTACAGTACATGGTATCTAGTTTGTAGAGCTCTATAGTCTGAGTCTTCCACGAATACAATAATACCTAGAATATCATCATCATACTGATTTTTGTGTCTATATCATTGCCAGATTAGAGACAAACCAGAGGAGCCTTATGGCTGCACAGGACGAAAACAAAGCTCTGACTGAACTCAGTGAGATGTTAAGACGTCATAATGACAATCTAAAAAGCCAGCATGATTGGTAAGCCTGTACTTCATATGCAGCATAGGGTACATGTAGGTGTTAGTTGACTGAAATTAGACACTTTAAAAAATTTCAAGTTTGGGTGCCAATAAAGTTGGAATGATGCAAGGAAAGCAGGGTTGAGAGTCAATTAGCGAGGGAGAAGATCACAATCAGTTTTTGTGTGGACAGTTGTGAGTGTTGAGTGTCACTCTATCTAATTATTATTATTTATTTTGATTTATTTCAATCTTCATTTTGAAGTGCTACTAAACAGCTTTTGGAGTTGGAGCAGGAGAGAAAGAATGTTGTACAGCAGTTAAAAGAAAGAGAGACCAAAGTTCAAGGTGATAATTGATGTTGATGATGATGATAATGATGATGGTGATAATGATGATGATGATGATAATGATGTTGATGATAATGATGATGATAATGATGATGGTGAAAATGATGATGATAATGATGATAATGATGCTGCTGATGCTGATAATGATGATGATAATGATGATACTGATGATGATGAGGATAATGGTTATGATGATGATGATGGTGATGATGATAATGAAGACAGTGATACAGTATAATAATATGATAATATTAAAAGTTAATTTAATTAACGATAAGAGTGGTGGTGATTATGATGATATCCTTTGGTATCCTATCCTCTCTTTGATGTTATTCAAGTACTCTAGTCATATTTGATTTAGTTTTAACAAGTCAATATTTTCAATTCTAGAGACGAAAAAAGCTCTCCAGCAACAAGAAAAGAAGACATGCTTAAGAGAAAGTGAAATAGAAGAGTTGAAGTCAAGCATCGAGAAACTAAAGGAAGACCTTATAAAGAACGAACAAATTCGCAAAGATCTCATGCACAAGGTAAAGCCATGTACGAGTATGTGACTTGGGCTAATTCCTGTTGCACAAGGCACAGGTAGCCCAACCCATCGTTTTCAGAGCTAACACGTGGGTTTGATTGCAGGTCTCTTCCTTGGAGGTTCTTTGTCGGCAACATGAAGAGGTTATAAAAGAGCGCGAAAACTCAGTGAATACTCTTCAAAATGAACTAGATCGTCAGTCACAGATTGCTGCTATGATCCATAAACTGACCAGTGAACAGACAGCCAACAACAAGAGTACTACATCCAAGTAAAACTAACTATGTGTACATGTAAATAAGTAACTTACTCCTTCACTTTCCCTCCCATCTACCCACGTAAAACCATCTACCCATCCACTTACCTACCCATCTGCCCAACTACCACGCCTACCCATCCACTTACCTACCCATCTGCCCAACTACCACGCCTACCCATCCACACAACTACCCACCCACCCATCCACTCAACTGCCCACCCACCCAACTACCAATTTGCTCACCTACCCACCCACTTACCTACCCACTTTCTTACCCAACCACACACCTGTCCACCCACATACACTCATCCTTGGGAAAATATTTTTCAATTTTATATGTTCTTCCAAAAAATACTTTGGAAATACATTTTCCATTGCCTAGCTATTTTTTTACCCTTTATATCGATCCACACTGGATTTCTGTGTGAAAAAACGGCTGCTATTTTTGCTAATGTGTGTTTTTCAAGCTTTGCTTGCATTTCTGTGAAAGTCAAGCCTCTCAGTAACAATTTTCTGACTTTTTATCCATGTACATATAAAATGTTAATAATATTGAATAATTATACTACTACTAGTATATATGCATATATGCCCAGAATTACAAGCTTAGTTTTTTATTGATATGTAAGTCTTTCTGTATGAGCGAGTATTGGTGTACTGGGCTGCCTGTGATGAAATGATGCACATGGAATAAATATTTCTGTAACATGTAATAAATATGGGTTATGGAGCCATGCATTCTATGTGCCTGCAGCAAATATAATAAATATGAGATATGAAGGCATACAAAAGTGATGATTGTTGTACTGGGCTGCCTGCGAAGAAATGATGCACATGAAATACAGTATGTTTTCCTATGTGTGATAAAAATGTATTAAATATATAGAGCTTTGCAATCCTTTGTATTGCTTACTGAAAGTCGAAACAAGTGCAGGGATCTACTATCGTGTAAGTACAATACTAGACGCCATTTTGGAAATGTTCCCTAACTCATCCCCACAGTGCACTGCAATGCCAACTCGACGCATTTTTTTCATCGACCTTGGAAAAGCTAATGCGTCTTTGGGACACGCGTAGTTTTAAAAATATCCCTAATGTGATCTTCAGTACTTTTTGGCGCGCAACCAAGGAGGAACTCCACAGAGTTTGAGGTCGTTTAAAGTACCGTTCATATGTGACATTAAGTACTTTTCGGCTCACAACTAAAGTGGTACGCCACAGAGTTTGGGGTCGCTTTAAATTACCGTTTATATACCGTGATATTGAGTACTTTTTGGCTCACAACCAAAGAGATACTCTGCGTCTGGAAAATCTTTGTCAACTTTCAGAGTCATGATGACGGATTATTTTACAGGGAAGCAATTAATAAGTATATCTTCATTTCAAATTCTGTACCCATTGCCTTGCAACCAAATGGAAGACTGACATTGGAAGGTTTTCTCGAGAGACAATTTAGTATGCGATTGTTTTTGTACTGGGAAATAAAGTCGACCCTTTGTGCGTGGAAGCAATATTGATAATGAAATTGAATTTAGCTGACTGGCAGCTCCACAGAGTTTGAGGTCATTTTAAAGTACCCTTAAATATGACATTGATTACTTTGTGGGGCGCAATTAAACCGAATGACATTTTTAAATGTTTAAAGGTTTTCTCCGCTTTCAGGGAGGATTCGATACCCATTTATTTTCACAGAACTAAAATTTAAATAAATAAAAAAAGAATAAATTACTGAATATTAACAGATTGTTAAACATTTAAAACTTTTTTGGCAGTTGTGGTTTGGCATTTGAATGGTACTGCAGTTGAAGACTGTCACAAAAGCGGCTACGGAACGTCAATGACACTCGTTGAACTTCATATGGAAACCGTTATATTTCGCAAAACATGTCTTCACCACATGACTGAAGTCTCAAAAGTACCATTTGATGGTTGCTGGTGCAAAAGCCGATAAAAAACATGATATTTTTGAGCGTCAATAAAGTTGGAATGATACAAGGAAAGCAGAATTTTTTACTGGTTTTTCTTGCCTTTATCAGGTATTTTGAGATTACTCTAAAAGAGCATCAACACATTTGTGGCTAGAAGGAACGTTCTCGTGAGAATAGTGGGTGGTTTTGGTCGATGATTGAATGGTCGTGGTTTTCCATTGCCGACACATACAACACACTTCCGGGTCGACCTCATTACAGAAAGATACCATCTATAAATATAAGATATCATTATTTGTCCAGACCTGCAAGCAACGCAGTGAATAAATATAAGAACCATTTTTGCCCATCCATCGTTTGGTCGTGTTCGTGAACGTCCGAACATGAAGACCAAGATGGCTGCTTCTGCTTCTTCGAGTTCATCTCGTATCATCATCGTCATGCTGTCAGTAATGGTTGTCTTTTTGTGCTGTGCTGAGTTTATACGCATCGAGGTGATACTAAAACAACAACAGACCAGAATTAACCAGCTAGAGAACAAGATAACCTCTACACTCGATACAGACAAGATGTTGAGAATAATGGACAAACTAACAGGAAAACAACTTGCAACGAGTGAAGAAGAACGACAAGAAAGAGGAAGACATCGTCAACGACGAAGCGTGGAAACGAAGATTAATTCGAGCAAGAAAGGAGAAGAAACCGAAGATCAATTCATTAATATAATCAGGAAAGAACTTGACAAAGTTATTACTACACTTTATGAGAATAAATACGGAAAAGTCGTTCGTGGACCACCGGGACCCAGAGGATCAAGGGGAACTCGTGGAAGAAGAGGACCAAAAGGGCCCAAAGGACAAGATGGTAAACAAGGCAAGCAGGGAATGAAAGGAGACCGGGGACTAAAAGGTGATCCAGGGGAGAGGGGAGAGACAGGTCCCATTGGTCATCCAGGACCCCGAGGCATGTCGGGACCGAAAGGGGAACCAGGTCAATCACTAGAAGATCCTCGAGTCATGATATCTCCTCCTCATTTGATTGTCAATGAAAGTCAGTCAGCACTCTTCCATTATTCTATCCGTGGTAATCCACAGCCCCTGTTTGGCTGGAGTAAAGTGGGAGGTTCATTAGACACGACAAGATCAATAGTTAATAGTAGCAGAGGTATACTAGAGATCAAACACGTCACATTCTCTGACTCAGGGATATATCAATGTAATGCATCTAGTATTCTTGGTAAAGCACTTGCAACCACAAGACTAGTGGTCAACTACCGTCCTAGAATTACTCTGAAAAGAGGCCCAACGTTCGTCAGGCTCGGAAATAACGTCACTCTTCCTACATGTTACGCAATCGGACATCCCAAACCTCGAGTCACGTGGTCAAAATCGAGGACCCAGCTACCAAGAGGTCGATATCGCATCAAAGGCAACCGTTTGACCATGTTGAGTGTTGGGCTCGAGGATTCGGGTACGTACTTTTGCAAAGCTGATAATTTTCTTGGTTCCTTGGTGTCAGAAACCATGCTTATTGCAGTCAAGCATCCAAGGTTCGTTGTCCAGCCTCCTTCCACTTTATACGCTATTCAGTCAACTACCATGAAGATCAAATGTGTGGTGGAAGGACCTCCTGATCCAATGATAACATGGAAGCGAAACAACTCGAACATTCCTGCTGGACGCAGCGAGGTGACGGATGAAGGTACTCTTGTGATCCGGGATGCTGTGAAGACAGACAGCGGGGTTTATGTTTGCACAGCAACAAGTCCGCGATTTTTTATCATAAGTGCAAAAACTGATCTCAAAGTAGATACTTTCCACGACTGTTCAGAGTATTACAATTTTGGCGTAAGAAAGAACGGTGTGTACACGATCAAGCCCGACAGCCAAGGAACCTTTCAAGTCTACTGTGACATGACAACTGACGGAGGGGGGTGGACAGTGTTCCAAAGAAGACAAGATGGATCTGTCGACTTTTATCGTGACTGGCAGGAATACAAAACCGGTTTTGGAAACCTGAATGATGAGTTCTGGCTGGGTAATGACTACATCCATCGACTTACAGCAAGGACACCCTCGGTGCTACGTGTGGATTTGGAGGACTGGCGACAAACGAGGAAATATGCCAAATATAATACCTTTAGAGTTGACGACGAACGAAATAAGTACACGCTAACAGTGGGATATTACTACGGTACCGCTGGAGACTCTTTCACAGCAAGCCACAATGGTATGCCCTTTTCAACCAAGGACCGAGACAACGACCAACGAGCTAACTACAATTGCGCAGCACTATTCACTGGGGCGTGGTGGTTTAAGGAGTGCTACAGGGTGCACTTAAATGGGAAGTATCTGGGAGATACGACTGAAGGTGATGGGGTCGAGTGGTTTCGATTCCATCGAAACTATCAGTCACTAAAGTTCACTGAAATGAAGATGAGACCAAAGTCCTTCTAACTTTACTAGAAATTTGTAACGAAGTGAGACCACAGAAAAACTATCCAGTATATTTTCCAGAACTTGACAGAACAGTTTTAAGGAACTGTTTTGCATGAGAATAATCAATAAGAGTTGATAATTAATGAACCTGAATAAATAAAAATAGGAAGAGATAACTAGCTAAAAACTAGTGTGAGCTGCGTCGGT